AGCAAGTTCTCCCCTCCCCCCACTTTCAATGTTGATAATCAGGTGATTTTCCCCTTTTTTGTTGGAGAAAACGCGATATTTTCCAACATTGATTAGGGGGGAAGGGGGATACGTGATACAGCTCAAGTGTTCCAACTTCTTTTGGCCGGGATTGTAGTTACCTACGTTCTAAATATGGGTCATTTCCGAATTAAGTTTAGCCTTTAGTGAGTCTTGGTGCTCTTCCTTTCGTATGAAAATGAGATTTACTTCACATGCAAACTAAACTCATTTTCATATCAATGGTTGTGTACGAGGCATGGCTTTGATAGAGAGGCTTTGGGCAACTCGGAAATGAGATATGCAGTGTGCTGATGAAATGCAGATAACGTCACATTTACTCCGATTTCGGAAACTGCCAGTTTGGTTCTTTATGGTGCCCGACAGTGGAGGAACACACGTAAGTACGTTTTAAGATAGTCCTTTCATATCGGTCTGTACGCACCGTCGGGAAATAAAACTGACTTACAAATGGAAATTGAATCTATTTCAAATTCCTCGAATATTAGCCCATGGATTAAGCTCTTACAGAGATGTATAACTTCTTTCGATAGGAAGCCCACTATTGGAGATATTGCTTTGTATTGGCGTTGTTTGAGTATTCTCGGAGAGCAACAGAGCTTGTTTTGCGGTTTATATCGTTGTGTTCTCAGAATCTTGATGCGCGCTTTTCGTGTACACACCTTCAAATATTTGGGCGGAACATCCTCTAAATATCAACCGAAACATTTTTGAAACGCGAAATTCTTTCGGATAATAAAGTCACTCCCCTCGCAAATATGCCCACTGAAAAGCCCCTTGAACGAATATATGCCCGGAACATATTGGGGAAATTTGTCTCAACTGTCAGGTGGGGTTTACAGAGTCCAATGTTTATCTGAACACAAGGAATTATCGACTTTTCTTACTCACCCCCTTAGAAAGTTGTCTCGTCAAAGGTTTCCCCTTTCCGACATCAGTTGATGATTGCCTCGTGATGGTTGTGCCGTACCTCCCCGCCCCTCCTTCGGAAGTCTGTCTTGACAGAGGCCCCCCTGACGCCCTCTTCCAAACTGGGTCGGAGTCGACCTTCGCGTCAGACGACACCTTCCTCAGGGGTTCTTTGGTTGCGGATGAAAGAGTGGAGTCCTGGGACGAGGAGCTCCTGCTGTACGAAAAGCTAGACGGGAAAGAGTCTGATACGGGACGGCGTGACTCTGCAGAAAAATAACAACAGTCACGCTGCTTTGTTGTTGAGCGTGGCGTGACTAAATAACGCCTCTGAAAGAGCCTACGGTATTTTTAGCCATCAAGACTAGAGCAAGCTAATATTTTAGAGCCACAAATTCCAAAGTCACATGAAACAATTAACACTATGGGCGCTGTTCCACNAAAAAGTAAACGTCTATGGACAGACTAGAGTTTTACGGCAAAGCACAGTTGGCGAAGGACGCCAGGCAACAGACACCCTCTTACCGTATGGCCTTCTTCTCTCCGTCACCTCTGCTATTGCTGCTTTCTCCTCTTCTTTCGCCATCGTACTACGCATCTCCTCTAGCTCTTTCTTCTGCTTCTCAACAGTGAACTTAAGTTTGATATTTTCCGATCGTTGTTCGTCGTACATTCGTTTATAATCGTCGTCCACGAATCCGAACGAGATCGAGTGCTCGGACTTGCGTCGCTCCAGCTGTCGAACCTTTGTGCGATGCGAGCGCACATCTTCGCTGTGCTTCTGAATTTCATCGTCTAGTCTTTGACGGAGACTTTTAATTTCCTCTTTGTGTCTCCGCCTCTTCACCTCAAGCAGAGTTTCTTGTTCTTCGACTTTAAGCTCAAGATCTTTAATCTTCTGTTCTTTTTGTTTTAAATCTAAAGACGTAACCAGAGTATTTCCACTCGCGCCGTTCAACACACGTTGCTCGCTCCTGACGCTTTCAAGTTCTTTCTCGTGTCTTCGTTTTAATTCCTGAACTGAAGCATCCCGTTCCTGCTTCAAATCCTCCAGCTCTTTTTCGTGCTCTAACTTCTGTTCTTCGATAACATCCTCTAAACTCTTGATTTTCAATCTCAAGTCCTCAACGTTCTGCATCTTCTCCTCGCCTAGCTTTTGTTTGTACATATTGACCTCGGCAGCGTGCGCGGCCTCCATTTCTTCGATTTTCAAATCAAGCTCTTCGATTTCCAATCTCAGACTATCGTTCTCTGACGAGAGCGTTTCCCAGTCACCCATCTTGCACTTCTCTTCTTTCTCCCGTTCAAAAGCGTCTTTGTACATTTTAATTTCCTTTTGATATTTTCTGTCGATGGCTTCCATTTCTTTTTGCATCTGGTAAATCTTTATGCTCATCTCTTCCGTTCTTCTCAGCCCAAACATGGTGGCAGCCTCGGATTTTTTCAAACTTTTCTCCAAGTCTGTTTTTTCCTTTTTGGCCTGCTTTTTGCTCGTTTCAATTTCCTTTTCGAGATCGTCAATTTTTGTCATCGCTTCCTGCAATAAAAGGAAAAAGTTTTAATTTGCCAAGGTAAACAAGACCCTCAGAGGATAAATTTCTTTGCAATGCTGAGCCACTCGGCACTGATATGAGACAAGCTGTACATCAGAATTAACTGTGTAATCATTTTGAGTGTTGCAACCAATCTTTGCGTGAGCATTAAGAAAGGAAACTAGGAACCACACAAGTCAATTGGGAAAAATCTCTTTACCTGGGTTGGATTCGAACTCAACACCTCCGAATTAGATCTCCGTTGTTCTACTGACTGAGCTACGAAAGCAGCGCAGGTAATTAAGGGGGTAATTCGTGCCAAGATAGATATGAAAAGTACAAAATAACGGTCGTTAGATGTAAGGACACTAAACGTGGTAACAGATGTGATACAATAAACATGGTCCACTAAGATTAGAACTGAACCATTTCAAAAAACAAGGTGGAGAGGGCAAAAACTCCTTTGCTAACGGGTTAAAGTCTTTTGCTCATTACAAGCAAATAATGTATTTCCTGGATTTTTCTTTTCGTTCAGGGTTGTGTAAAGAAGGTAATTCTCGATGTCCATAGCAGAGTTACCCCCGGCATTAACTTCGGCGGTACCCATTAATACACCTGGGTGGAGAGAGGCACTGTGAGAGCAAAGTGTCTTCTTGCCCAAGGATACAACATAATGTCCCGGGAAATGACTCAAATCTGAACTGCTCCTTCCAGTGGCGAGCGTACTCACCATGAGCTCACCGCGCCTCCACACACACACAAAAAAACAGACACACACCTCTAATGAGAGCTTCATTCCTGCACGGGTGATGGTACTGGCGACTGTCTGTGAGTCGGGCTGACTGCCACCATTTGGTGACGTGTTGCCACTCCTTGCCACCTGAATGGCGACCAACATGTCGGCCTTGAGAAGATTGACTTCCTCGTCATGCTTAACTTGTTTCTGTAACAACTGCTTTTGGAACTCGTCCCGACACGACGCCAACTCCGACTCTAGCTGAACGACACGCTTTTGAAGCTGGGAATCACTCTGTTAAACAAAACATGGTATAGTGAACTTTCACTTACAGTGAGTCGGTAAGTCAGTCAGTGAATCAGTCAAGGAATCAGTCAGTACGTCAATCAGTCATTCAGTCAGTCAAGTGTGCCCATCAATCAATCAGTCAGTCAGTCAGTCAGTCAGTCAGTCAATTAGTCAGTCAGTCAGTCAGTCAGTCAGACAGACAGACAGACAGACAGTCATTCAGTCAGTCAGTCAGTTAGCGAGTCAGTCAGTCAGTCAGTTAGCCACTCAGCTGATTTCTTTTACCAACCAAAGTTGATTCATTTTACCTGGGCTTCTCCTTCCAAAGTAACCAGAGGCACCGTCCTCGATCTCTTGGCCTCCCGTAGAGCTTCTTGATGTTCTTCTTGTAATTTAGCGATCTTCGTCTCGTACTCTGCGCGCATGGCGGCCAGGTCTTGCGGCAGTTCTTTTGGAGTCATTGGCGAAGCAGATCCCTCCACGTCGAAATATTTTTCTGATCTTATCGCTTGGATCACTGTCATCATGTCGTTACGTGTTTGCTCGATCTCTCGTTGCTGTTTTTCCTGTAATATGAAATAGAACAAATAAATAAACGGTACTCCACGCAATGGCTACATGCACTCGCAAAAGACTTCGGACGTTTAATTTTAGGACACTTTTTTTATCGCATTTCAGACAAATTTCGAGCAAACATTTCGGACACTTAGCTGAAACATAACTTAAGTAAATTTGTTGCTACAAAAACGCGAATTATACAGCAACAACATCTGTGGAAATGATAGTTTTACTGCACCCTCAAGGTTTTAGATTCACTGACGAGAAAATAACACCAATTCTTACGTATCTGAAGCGGTTTCTCAACTAGAGTTCGCTCCATAAAAACAAAAACTAAGAGTTTTGGAGCTACTTCAGAGTCTTATAATGTACTGTACATATCTCGGGCTCTTATAAAAATGTCGGACGGTTTTATTTTAGGACATTTTTTTGTCCGAAATTACCATCATCCGAAATTTTTGGCAAGTAATATACTCTTCTGGTGTTTCCGGTTCGATTCTTGTCTCAGCCTTCCACCAAGATACAAACACAATTATTCACCCGTTCAGTCTTGAGTTCCTCGTTGTATTTCTTGCTGAGTTCCTCTGTTTCTTGCTCCAGTTCGTGAATTCGATTCTTGAGCTGCTGGACATTCGAGTCATCGCCCTTGGCTGGTGAAGGCGCCGCTCCTAAAGAGGCCTGGAGAACAATAGCCATGTCGCGCTTGAGCTGTTCAAGCTCTTCACCGTGATTAACCTATGAGAAATAAATAATGTAAGTAAGACCTCTCTTTTAGTGTTATTATTAGTGCTTCTCAATTCGATAAAAAAAAAATCCCACACTGATCACAGGGATCCGTTAGGGTCAGGTAACAGCTCTCGCAAGGTCTCACATGAATGGCTTGATACTCTTTGAGAGAACAATAGAACAAAGAACAGAAACACAGCCACTAACCCCAAAATAACAACAGCTGTTACACTATGACCACAAAAAGAATTACAAGCTTAAGTGAGCTACAACAATTCTGTTCTTTTTCTTTGGGGGAGGGGGGGCGGGGGAATTGGCTGCTGCAGGGAAATCTCACATACGTCGTAAAAGAACAGGTTTGTACCACATTGTAAGTTGACGTTTGTGCAAAGCTGTTTAAGAGAGATCAATTCGATAAATCTTTGAGGAGCTATCATGTTAGAACCCCAGGAGTCCCAGTGTAACACTCCGTTTGCCGCTTATCGCAGCAGATAACCTGCCATTTGTGCGAGGGGAGCAGAGGGGTTAAGAATTAAGGGCCTAAAATCAGCGCAACAAACCTTGAGATTCTCGATCTCCTCCATGTACTTCTGACTCATATTCTCCATCTCGACCTGTAGATGAACAACTTCAGTTTGCAGACCATCCACACCGTCCCCACTGCTCCTCTTTAGTTTGTCCATCTCTCGAGAATGACTTTTCTTCAGTAGCTCCATCTGACCTTCATACCTAATGGAACAGAATGACGTCAGAGCACAAGACGCATTACCACTTGGGGAGGGAGGGAAGGGGAGGGTGGAGGTCAAAATCGCTTCTTACGGATAGACGTCTGCTAGATTGGAATGTATATTACTTTACAGAAGTATGCGAGTCGTACGACCTTGCGAAGTTAAGGGTGGTATGTTATCTTCAGGCACCGTAGTTCAAGCCAAATTTGGCCACAGTCCGCCATATTGAGCCGCCACTACGGTGCCTGAAGAAGAGCGCTAAAACTGCCACAAAAGTCCCGTGTAAAACAAGATTTTCTTTATTTATTCGATAGTTTATTTACCTTTCTGTCATTTCCTTCATCTCAGTCTCTAGTTCTTGTACTCTGGCGGCCATTTCCTCGTCATTTTCTCGGATCATTTCACGAGCGCTACTTTCCAAGATGGCTTCCCGCCGCGCGTTCTCTAACTCCTTCTTGTGAAGAGCTCTTAATTTCTCGATCTCTTGCTGGTGAGAGGCCTTAAGTTCGCTGATGTCAGACTGAAGAGTTATCACACGAGAAGTTAGCCGTAATTTCAGCTCGTCAGCCTCGGAACTTGCCGCTCCGGAGACTTGCAGCGTCTCTTCGTTTAACTTTTGCATTTCGTGGACATGAGAATCTCTTTGGAGACTCAACTCCTCAGCGAATTTCTTCCTTGAATCTTCAAGCTCTGTCTGCAGCTGTTTCACTCGAGTGGCTTCCATTTCTCGACTTCTTTCGCAAAACGCTAACCGCTCTTCCATCTGTTCCACTTTCACGCTTTCGCTGAGGGTTTCCCGGCTTTCGCTTCCTTCTGTTTGAGCATCCTTCATCTCTTTAACCATTTGCGTCACTCGCGACCTCTCATCGTCCAGTTGCCTCTCCAGCTCTTTAGAATTCTCCTTTTCCTCGCTAATGGCTAGCTCTAACTCTTTGATATATTTCATGGACAATTCCATCACGTCTAATATGCTATACTTTTCTTTATCCAGCTCTTTGGCTTTGTTAACTAAGCTCTCTCGCGTCGTATTCAATTCTTTTTCTCTCAAGGTAAGGTTGTTTTCAACACCTTGAATCCACTCCGCCGTTTCTTGTTCAACTGTAAGTCTTCTTGCTAATTCTTCAGCCAGTTCTATAACCTTCTCCTCACTCGCTATGAGTTTAGAGTTTTTGTCCTTGGCAAAATCTTCGTACTTCCTGATTCGCTCTTCGGCTTCCGTGAGCTTCCTTTTCACCTCATCAACCTTAAAATCTTCGTCTTCTTTTTTGCTTTTTTGTAGTTCGGCAGAAAGAAGTTTTTCCTCAACTTCGTAGTCCACGAGTCTTTCTTCAGCTACCGCTAACTTCTCTCTTGTTTCTTCGAGCTCATCCTGCAGGACGCGAATTTTGTTTTGAAGATCATCACTATTCTTGGAATCATAGCCTCTCGCTGTCGATTCATAAAGAATCAATTTTTCTTCGAAGACAGCAATCCGTTCGTGGGCGACTGCTAGAGAAGACTCTCTGTCAGACAATTTTTCTTCTCTATCTTTCAACTCTGATTCCAGTTCATCGATGTGCTTTTCCGCATCCTCTCTGTACACCATGAGTTCAGTTTTCCTTTTAAGTTCCTCAACTTCACCGTCCCTTCCTTGCAACTTTCTCCGCTCGGATTCCAAAGCGTTTCGCAGATCGTCGAACTGATTCTGAAGTTCTTCAAGACGAAGTTTTTCCCGGTTTAGTTCAATTTCCATCTCGTCTCGTTTAGCCTCCTCTTGCTTCATCAAATCTTTTTCTCTCCGAGCACAATTCCTTTCAGTGTCTCTCAATTCATCGTCTTTACGTTTCAACAGTTTCTCTAAATCATAAAGCCGTTTTTTATCCGCCTCTGCGCTTAAACTATTGGATTCTTTTTGCAATAATTTTGCTTCCAGTTCTTCAATTTTGTCCTTGTAAATTGAGATTTCTTCCTCCAAACCTACAATACGCTCTTTGACGTCCCACCGTTCCCCTTCATCAGTTTCATTTTCGGTCTGAAGAAATATTTCTCGTTCCATACTTTCTGTAAGTTCGCTTTCAACAGTTTGTAGTCTTTCTTCCAATTCTCTGTTTTTCTCTACCACATCGGCATTTCTATCTTCCAATTTCCTCATTTCCTTGTGCAAATTCTCCAGTTCGCTTTCTCTCTTTTTCAAATCGTCCTTAAATCTGTTACGCTGGGTTTTTAAGCTTTCTACATCCTGTTCTTTCTCTTTCAAACAGTCTTTTAAACGATCAATTTCCTTGGTGGCGGATTTCAAAGCGGCATCGTGATCGCCACGACCGGATTCACTCTGTTCTGAATCACTACTCTCCACCGAATCAAGAGCTAATTTCAATTTATTAAGTTCCTTGACATAGGACAAACCGTTACTAGTTCTTTTTTCATCATCACTAGATTTTGGCTCGGCCTGAGTCACCTCCGCCTCTACAGTTGTCACCCTTGCCGCTACGATATTTTCCGACGCAACGCGTTCTCTTGCTCTGTTTAACAGCTCAACGACCTCTTTTGAAAGTCCATCTTTTTTCCGCTCATCCGACAGCAGTTCAAGTTCTGCAAACAGTCGGTTGTTCTCCTCTTCAACTTTGACGCGTCTTTCTTTCTCGTATTCAAGCTCTAAGTTTTTGTTAACCAAGTGGTTTTCAGTCTCGGCCAGCTTTCTCTCGTTATTGCTCAACTTCGACTCAAGCTCCTGCAAAAGCGACCTGGTGTACTTCGCGACCTTCGACCGACTTTCGTTGGCTTTCTCAAGTTCTCTAGTCTTCACCAGCAATTCTCGTTCATTCTGCTTCAGTTTCTGCATAAGCACTGCCAGTTTGGATTCCAAATCCTTGCCGTCATGGCCATTCGTATCACCCTTCAGACTGAACACTTGATCACTCTCCGGTTCCTCTCCAGCTAAAATCAATTTCTCTTTGCCACTTCGCGAGACGTGCTTCACGGACGAAAGTTCGCTTTTCAACGACTCAACGTTTGCTCTGTGAATTCCAATAATGCTATTCGCTTCCTGAAGATCAGCCTTGGCTTCCGCGAGTTCTTTGGCATGAATTGACAGTTTTCCTTTATGTTGTTGAAGAAGCTTCTCTTTCTCTTCCAACCTCTGTCTCAAGTCATTCACTTTCGATCTCGCCTCGAGCAGTTCTTTCTCCTGAAACAGCAAAGCTTTCTGGTAATCTCTACACTGAGAATGTTCCTTCTCCAGCTCTTTTATTCTGTTCACCTTCGTTTTCAACTCAAGCTCGAGGATGTGCGCGGAGTCCTTCTGTCTTGCAGACAACACGCTTTGCTCTCTTAAACGCTTATTCTCATCTTTCAGTTTCTCTAGTTGGAGCTTTATCAGGAAAATAAATACAAATAAATCAGCACACGTTAGGCCCTGGCCAAACAGACTCGAAGTCGCAACTAACCGCAGATTATACTTGCGTAGAGACTTGCGTTGGGTGGCCAAATGGCTCGCTAGTTTCCTCTCAAGGTCACTCAAGTTGCAAAAAAAAAAATCATTTCAAGGACACGGGCTACATGCATATCCTGTATTTTACTGGCTAATAGGTTGCTATAACGACGAACGGACGTCACTCAACATGCGTTGACTTGGCTTGGGTGGCCAAAGGGTAAAAAACTTGTGTCGACTTGCATGCAAATTTGATCTCGACCAAAGTGAGCGCAAGTCATCGCAAGTCAAATCAAGTACACGCAAAGCCTGGCCAAACGAAGTCGTAAGTTGATACAAGTTTTCAACCTGCGTCCACTTGCGAGTCCTTTTGGCCAGGGCTATGAACAATTGTAACTTTACAAGTGCTTACTTACTTAGTTTTTTTTTTTTTTTACTTAAACCAATGCTTCTGAAATAAAACAAAACCTGTACAAACGCTTTCTTCAAAAAGCTTTTTCAGGCTCCTTTAACAGAACTCAAAAAGAGAAAAAAAAAAGTTTGGTGCAACGCAGACTTTTCTTTGTAAAATGCACGTGACTTTAATCAGTCAAAATATCAAACAGATCAGAGACAACAGTAACTCAAGATTATTCCACACTACTGAACTAAATTAAGTCTCAAACAACTATACAGTCTATCTGATGAGCATCCCTTGTTCATCCAGTCCATCTTCTGCTGATCTTTCCCCCACCTCCCCTTCCCTTGCACACAACTCCTTCTTACTAAGAAAGATGGTACTACATAATATAAGTTAACATGGTGTGTCCACTCACCGATGCTTGTTGTTCCTCGGTACTCACAGTGGGTCGGCTACTTAGAGGAGTGGTGCTGACTTTCGAAAGAGTGCTTTTATCAAAACTTGGTACACGCGAAACAGTAGCTGCTGTACCTGAAAATGACCAGGAGACCAGGTGTTTCTTATTACTGAAGTAAAATTCAAAACCAAAGAAAGCTACCAGTATGTCATGAATTACACAACTTGAAACCTTTTGGAAACATAAGTTTGTGAATTACAATTCATCTCATTCTTTCTCATTTATAGCCCTCCCCATTTCTTCTCTTCTCAGGAGGCGCGGTGGCCTTATGGTTAGTGTGCTCGTCCCCAAATCGAGCGGTCCAGGTTCGAGACCTGGCCGGGGACATTGTGTTGTGTTCTTGGGCAAGACACTTAACTCTCACAGTGCCTCTCTCCACCCAGGAGTATAAATGGGTACCGGCAAATTGTTGGGAAAACTTTACAAATTGTGGGGGAGTGACCTGCGATGGACTAGCATCCTGTCCAAGGGGAGTAGAAATATTCCTAGCCACTTCATGCTACAAAAACTGGGATAAGCTCTGGCAGCTACGAGTCAGCTGGCTCCAAGGCTTCACTTCTTCAGTTTCTTCTCAGTTTGTTACTCCTCTTATAATTAGTCCTTTTCTACTTCGGTAAACTTCATGTTTACCAAGGTAAAAAGATGGTGCTAAAGAGGATCATTGAGCTGGGGAGGATACATACCACTTACTAACTGAGTTCGAGGTCTGTACTGTAAGTTACGGACCAAGTTTTTTCCCCTTTGATTCATGGCTCAAGCGCGAAGCATGTGGGCCATAAATTCGAAGGGGGAAAAACGAGGATCTGTAACTTACAGTGCAGACCGAGAAGATGAGGTTAGTAAGATATTTATTAGATCTCTACTGTGTGCCTGACGAGTTCGGGAACGATTTCTATTTACGTGGAATGGCTTCAAATTTCTGATGCATGTGGAACGCAAAATGGGTCAATTTGAAATCGTTTTTAAGTCGTTAGCATGCTTTAATACACAATTTAGAGCAAAAGAAAGTTTAAACTTTTACTTGCTATAAAAGTTAAGAATGGTTGGCGATAAATCACGAAACAGTTTGGCAACCAACGTTAAATTTCAGTGGGCCTAACTAACCAATCACGTGTGCATACTAACTGAGAGATCTAATAAAGGATTTTAAAGAAAGGGATTCGATATACGGCCTGTCATAAGATGGTCTGCTGTATGGGAGGGGGAGTTAGGGGGCACCCTCCATTGAAAAGTTTTTTAAATTGAGGTCCTCAGAAATAGGATTTCTGGCATTCTGAGGCCAAGTTAGTGCATTACAAAATACAGTCGAAGCCCTATTAAATGGCTACCCTCGGCGAAATGGACTGTGGCCGCTTAAAAGGGGTTGCCTGCTTAATAGAGGTAGAAACAATAGAAAAGCCATCATTGGGACTTTGATTGCTGGCTGCCTAAAAAGGCTGGCGGCTTAATAGGTGGCTGCTTAATAGGGGTTCAACTCTATCTCATTTTTATAATTTAGGGGTTCAGCCAAACCCCCAGGACACCTCTAGATCCTCCCCAGGTCAGCAGAAGGAAAAAGGCAACAAGAAGAAGCGAGAAGTTCAAAAACAACTTGGAGAAGGTCAGAGGAGAAAAAACTTATAACACCTCACCCCACATGTAAACTATGGCAAATTTCCAAAGACAATTCAGTTCATGCAATTTTGCTAAAGCGTGAAGTTTAATAATACCTGGACAGGAGAAATAGTTGGAAACCGTTATTTGAATTAATTTCAGATAGAAGTCTACCAAAGCAACTGGATTATTTGCTCTCAATTTCTAGGAGGTGATAGTTGATTCGGCCTTCAGCCTCATCAACTATCACCTCATAGAAATCGATAGCGAATAATCTAACTGTTAAATAGTTTGGGAGAACGAGAAATGTTTTGGGAACACAGGTTGACAGACAAGTGTTTCCACAGCTTTTTTGAGTTCTCCCAAACGAGTGTTTCTATAACTCAACAGAAACACGGAGAACATGTTTTCTATTTCTTGTAGAAAATATTGTGACAGAAAAAGAAAACAACTTGTTTACTTCGATCATCAAAATGTAAATTACCTTTTCTTTGTATCAACAGCTCGTGCTAGTTCTGTGTTTCTATAGAGTTTTAGTATAAACCTACTAGCATTCTATTGTGCATGACATTCTCTAAATGGCTACGCCAGACACTATCTATTCTGTTGTAGATAGTGAGTAGTGTAGCGTTGTGTGGTTGTTAATAGACTGGTGGCCTCTTCTTTACATTTTCTAAGTGTCTGTGAAGAGGATTCAGATAAAGTTTTGAACAACTAGTAGATTTATACTAAAACAGTTATATATTTGCTCTTGATTTCTATGCATGATAGACATCTTGAGCAATTGGAAATAATAGAAACACAATTTTTAACCAATCAGTGTGCACATTTTCTTTGGGCTTTTTTCTAATGATATCTAATAACAAAGAACAGTAACAATGGTTATAGGTTTCAAAAGAAGTAACAATGATAACTCACTCTGGAGAAACACATCTGAGTCACTAGAGCTACTCGAGCTTCTACGGGGAACAAATGCCTGTGATGCTTGGACAAATGGCTTAAGCACCCGTGACCAATTGTCCAACTCCAGTCTATTCTCGGCCTTGAGGTAGTAGGTTGTCCTTCCTAGCTTCAACCCAATGGAAAATGGTTCACCGGTATCTGCCTCACCAATGAACATGCCATTGCAAAAGTCAAGATTGATACTGCCATCCAGTCTTTCAGTTGAGCAGTTCTGCAATGTAAGACACAGAAATGTCAGAGGTTTCATCAACTTTTTCAGCAGGGGGGCAGCTGGTTTTCACAGGTCGGAAAAAATTTTCAGACCAGACCAGACAGGCAAAACCGTCCTCATATCCAGTCAATTTTTCTGGTGCCCAACCCTTAACAAAACCCTGACTGCAAGTCATGTTCGGGACAAATGATGGTGTAGTACTTAATATTTTCACCATGTAACACACTTATTAACTACAGAATGCAAAGAAAGCCCTGTCCAATAGCCTGTTGTTAGTGGATTTTGTAGTTTAGCTAGTACATGTAGATCCTTTCCTTCACATGCAGAGTTTTTTCAGGTAAATTTGAAAAAATTCAAATCACAGAAGAACTGTAAAAGATCAAATTATTGTTTTAATTTTGATCTTTAACTTAATTAATTATCAATCATGCTAGTGAGAAAATTTTGGGAGGGGGGGGGAGGTAGCAAAAAGGACTGTTGCTAGGGATTTCATTAACATTTTCAGCATGAGGGCAACTGGTTTTCACAGCTGGACTAAACTATTAGAACTGAACTTCTCTGTATTTTTGTTCTCACAGCCAGTCAATTCGCCAGGTGCCTGGCCCTTAATGAAATTCCTGCTGTTGCACTAGTACATCCCAGTAAGAGCTGAAAAGCTGATCAGATTTATTTACACCATGTAACTAAACACAAAAAATAGTTTGAAAGATTTAATTCATGTGTGCATCAATAATTCAAAATTTCAATACATGAAAATAAGTATATGTACTAGACGACAACATTTACCTATTAGAGACAATAAAAAGTCTTCTATCTAATTAACTGACAGCTTTGTGATTGGTATATAAAAAGTGAAAAAAAAATTTATTATACAACAAAATTTTTTCCAAGAGATAGCTGAAACCAGTAGATACAGAAAATTGAGAGCATATGCTCAATAAAATTAAAAGAAAGGCCATACAGTACCAGTCAAAGGGATTGCAGCCTTACATGAGCATAAAGCCTGTGCACTACACACGTATCACATGCAGTAGTTACATAAAAGACTAAATGTATAAAACAATGGACATTTGATCCAAAATATTTAAAAATAATGCCATCTGCTCTTACATGCAAAATAATAAACAATAGTTTTCAAGAATATCAAAAAATTATTTGAACTTACATATAAAAATCTATCCTTCCAATAAAAGAATGAAATTGAGTGAATGAGTAGGCAGAGTTTTATTAGTTTTGTGTTGATTTCTGGTTAATTTCTTTGGTTGCTGTTTATGCACCCTCTTCCCCAAATAAAATACAAAATGACAGGTTACAAGATATTTGTCTTGCCCAAAACAAATGGCAGCACATCTTTGAAGCAGGATAAAGAATTTGATCTACACTGTCCCAAAAAAAATCAAAGTTTCTATGTTTTTGTTACCAAAGAGCAGACATGAAAGGACATCGGATTATCCTGAGATGCTCTAGTTACACTAAAGCTTAATGGGTTTTAGAAAGGATTAGGTGTAAATTATAAACATGCAATGTGCTGGTTGTGTTAATGAACACTTTCCACATGATTCATTTCTGTGAGCTGAATGGAGATAGTGATAAAGATGGCACCAGTGGTCAGAAATATTTTTACCACTTGATAAATATCTCTGTTCACAAATGTGCAATAATTTGAACACCATACAATACTAACATAACACTGACAGTTCAATGGGTAGCTTGAATTTTCACTGCAAAATCTTGCCTATATGAAATGAATGCATAAGAGAGCATAACAATACGGAAACATTAATTTTATCTCGAGAAAAATACCGATCGTTAAAACCACTTTTGAAAAAAAGCTGTAGGCTCAATTAATTAATAGATTGATCACCCCCAACATGGCACAAGAATAGTCTTAATTTTTTATAATCGAATATTATTCGTATATTCCTTCCACATCGGGCAAAATTAAACAACCAAATTGACAAGCTACCAATGTTTGGGTTCAGGTAAAACAGCACCGATTGTAAGGTAAGGACTTAAAAAGATTTCTGCAATGTTTACGAAGTGCTCCTGTGTCTTCTCTCGTTACAACTTTTGAAAACTGAGAAGAATTCAGCATACTTGGGCTTCCACGATTATCGATCTGTAGCAGTAATTACTCGAAGACGAACACTGTGCACCTTCAATCTTCAAACTATTGCCCAACTCAAAGAACCACTTTATTATTATGTAAAAGTTCATGTGTCAAAATACTTTACGGACGGCAAATATTTGCGCAGAGCGACTGAAGAATGGAACGGATGCAATTAGCGTGCGAGAAACAACTTCTTTGAAGCAAAATATTTTTCGGTTCTGATTTCAAAATGTGAGCACAAACAACAGACTTCCGCAAAATTTTTGTTGGACTGAACAAAAACATTTTAAGTTCTATTTCACTCTTCGAATCAGTAGAAAACACAGAAAATGGACCGGAGAAAACTATATTGACGAGGAATGCACCTTGTCCCCTCTTGAGTTATATGTGACTACAATGTAGGTGTAGTTAACGTAAATAACGTGTAAATTTCAGCTATTTGAAAATTAATTTTCGTACCTTCTGTTCGTCGTAGAAAAAAAAGTCCAGTGTCCCTGTAGAATTTAGCACAAACCAACGCTTGTTCCATCGCTGAAGAACGAGCAAAAAAGAGTTAGAAGGGTATTACATGCATCCTCGTTGATGAAAATAAACAGAAACAAAAAAATATCAACAAATTCACAAACGGAGCAAGGACTCACCGAAGGAAGAACCCTCCCTTTATCTACCGATTCGTGAGTTGTTATGCACAGAACCCCTGATTTGACCACAGTCCGCAGTCTTGAATATACCTAACGATTAACAGCAGAAAAAAGAGGTATTATATTTGCCATCATAAACTGACTGCACAGCAAGAACGATGCAAGAAAACTAAGAACTTATGTAGTTCGACTAGGAAACGGCAACATATTTCCAAGCTGCATAAAGCACTGACTGATTAATGCTACCTTTTGAGCTGACTGTTTTCGTGTCACACTTTGAAATGACACATCTTGGCTGGATCCAGAGGAGCCGTGTGCTTCTTTCAGCTTGAAACAATTTTGACACTTGCTCTTGTTAAATACATTTGGCTGAAAGTTCCTGCACGGACGATCAGCCATCCCGAGCGATCGCTATCAGTTCTGTTTCATTCTTGGCTCGACTGGGTTGCTGTCGCCTTCTGTCGATTGTCTTATCCCACAGATTAAATAGCGAAGAAAGCACCGTTGTAAAATTTCAACTTAAAAGCTCTTTGTGAGGATTCCAGGAGAGTTTATGAAATTATAATGCCTCCACAAGCGACGCCCCGGTTTGCTTTGATCCTTTTTTCAAACGTTTACTAGGCATGCGTAGGTGGTGACAAAAATAACTTTGCACTACCCGGCTAAAACTTATGATTTCGACCATCTAGTTCTCAGGTTCCCAACTGTCGGACTCGGCGGAGTTCACTACTTGCTGAAATTTTCGGACGTTAAAATTTCGGACGTCTTCTCATCTCATTTCGGACAAATTTCGGGAAAACAATTTCGACACGGAGCTGAGACATAAATTTACGCCTATAAAACACGAATTAGACTGAAACAAATAATAGTTTTCCTCGCTTTCCTGTACCCTCAAGGTTTCACAGACCTTCAAATTCTATCAAGACGTTACGTATTTCAAGCAGTTTCGCAAACTAGAGTTCGCTCCATAAAGGAACTTAAGAGCTTTGGAGCTACTTAAAAATTTTATACTGTACTGTAAATATATCGGACACTTAAAATTTGGGACGCCGTTTGATTACCGACACCTTTCTTGCCCGAAAACAAAATTGTCCAAAATTGTTTTTTTAAGTAATGTACTTGGTGATTTAAATGTGGTAGGAATATGGTTTTTGTTTGTTGGTTGGTTTTCTTTCTTTCACTCTCTCTGATAAAAAACTGGTTAAATTTATATATTAGTAGACATTATAGGAAAGAAAAATAAGATAGTTTCGCAGTCTCTTTAGACTTTTTTGGGTAGCTCACTGGTGACTTGGACAGTGAATCCAAAACACGACAGGTATTTCTTTGTTGAGTATTACCCTTTCAGTACAACGAGCTGAAAAAAATTTCCTTATCTGCTTTAAAAGGTTAACCAGGAAGCTATTCAGGCTAACCATTTTATATTTACAAATTATGTACTAAATTAGTATTGAAGGCTCCGTGTTTGAATATATAAATTAATGTACTATAATGCGTTGTGTTTCTATTTTCGTGTTTATTTTTTGTGAGTTCACCCTGCTTCGATGAACCGCTTTATGTAAGGGCCTGGGACACTTGTTTCTGTCAACTCAGCCGCAGTTGTCATGCTAATAAGCCATTTTTGGCATTACTCGGGGTCAGTCGCGCGCTTATGTAGCTGAAAATACTTCCCAACTCATGGGATCATCTCTTAAATTGTTTGGTTGCTGTTGTTGACGGATGACAGTTTTCGATGTATCGATCGAAGTGTACGACTTGTACGCCTCTAACTTTTTTTTTTACCGCAAAACAACCTTCGAATTCTAAAACCAAGCATTTCTTAAAAGGAAAATTCCGTTCCGATAACAAGCTTCTCCGCCCCTTTCGAGACGAAAAGTTCACTTAGCTTTCAAGCAAATATAGGCACTACCACAAGAATTTCAAATCCGTCAAATATCTCTTTCTCTGGCGCACTTAGCTTTCGTAAAAACCGCAATCATCCTTCTCCATCTCTTCAATTAATACTAGCTCACCCATAATAGTTTTCAGCTAGCTGCGAGCTATTAAGGCTTGTAACCCAATCTGTTACAGTTCATTTTTTGATTTTTCTGATGGTCTCGGCTAAAACTAATAATCTCCCGTTCGACAGCTGAGTGTTATGTTGAAAAATTTGACCTTTTTCTTTCTATTTCAGCTCAACCTGCTATCTTGTGGAAATACTACAGCACCTCGCTTATCGGAACAGATACTGTCCCCCTCGGACAAATATCCGTGCATATTTTAGGGCCAAATATAATTATATGTTTGTGTTGGGTTGGTCTCTGAAAAACACATTTCCGAAATGCTTTTAATTTAGGCTCATACTTGAAAAATAAATTAAAGATAACCAATACAGGAATATCAACAATTCTCACACCGTTTGAACGACTGACAGTTCGTGCTTGACAAAATACAGTTATGTATTCACACCGTTGTTTTTACTGTTTTTCTTGTTTTTGCATTGCGTTTTCTTCAACATGTCGAGATTGTTACAACAGTGAAACGTCGATTAAGTTGACACCCTCGGAAAATTGCCTATCCTCTGTAGGAAAGGGAGGGTGTCCATTTAATGAAGGTTTCCCAAGAGAAAACGATATTTTTATTTTTATTTTCTTCTCGATAACAAACTTCTAAATTGTTCACCAAGCTATCCTGAATTCATGTTCTTGACCAACTTTACAACAAGTTGGCAAAAGTGTTGTTTGTAATCTGTCCTCGCAATTGTACGCAATCAGTTTTAGGTTAATTGCGGGTAAGCTTAAGCTTTCACTTTATCTTCAAGTTGCGTAAAACGGCCTCCAAGTTGCATGGATTATCAGAATCATACCACACTAAAGGTGCTCTTTCCTGTTCCTGATGTAGTTAGAGTCGCGCAGGTAAAAAAAAGCAGGAACGCGTAACTATTACTCTGAAAATATCCAAGGTTTGCACACATCTTGTTACATAGCAATCCCGCTGACTATCAACAAACAAACGCAAGTTCTAGTAGTTTAAATTGCGTTCATAGACGCCAGCATTTTCAATCTTTATTTCGTTCATTTAGCTTCGTAAATTTACGCTACAAGGGTGTCCAGCGCTGATGTTACAATTTAATTTACTACAGGAGCCATAACAATCTTGTATAAAATAGGCTCGACCTAATTTACGAATTTGATTGGCTGAAATCGATATTGAAAGCGGTCTAGATTTTCCGATCTAGAGCGGCATCTAGACCGGTAATGTTTTGCGGTGAAAAAGTTGCAAACTTTAATGCAAAAATGTTGACTATTTTCTTCTAACAATATTTATTTATGGCAATGCCAAAAAGTTTGATAAGAAAAGAAAAGAAAAGTAAAGAGGACGAGCAGACTTTGGCAGAATTAAGTTCAGCTCATCGCCGTTCGCAAACAAAATGTCACCTAGTACAAACCAGTTACATTAAACGAATTGAACTTTTCTTGTTTGCCATGTGATAAAAATCTTATTAACCGAGCTTAGTCGGTCTGTGTGGGAGAATTCTTGACCTCCTTCGCGTGTACAGACCTCACTGCGTTCGGCCTGTACTCACGACCTCGGTCAAGATTCTCCCATAAAGACCTCCTGCTCGGTTAATAAGAGCCAAGTATTCAACTGAGTGGCATAAAACCAAAACCAAAGTAATTTCACACTGCCCAATCACACATTGCACAGACAATCCAGTGAACCGATCAAAACTCAAATAATATAGTTGTAAACGGCGCAAAGCCCGGGAAAACGTGTGGGAACGAGTCATGATTGGTTTTGCCGGTTTTTGTCCTGATAAGATGATAAAGTGGCGCGAGTAATTTTAGCCAATCGCCCAGCGTAGTAAAGCAAAACAGAAGCAAACGCAAATTACTTTTGACACTCAAGTGAAAACCGCTCTTTCACCAGTTACTGAATTAATTACATGATTAAATACATCTTGCCTTTGTAACCTTCTCGTCATGTGAGCATAGTTAATTGAGGGGACTGGTTATGAAGCTCGGCAAACATCAAAGATGCCAAGATTTATGTTGGAAGGTCCACGACCACGCACAATCTTTTGTTTTGCGCTCATACGCTATGCATGAATTACGTAACCAACACCGTCGTTACTATTGGTTAGTTCCTCAGTACAGGGTAAACAACTATTGCGTTTAATGGACGGTCAAGGCCAAAAAAGCGAACGAAAACATACACCAAAGAACTTTGTCGGGTTTCATAACCATTCCCATCTATTAACTATGATGTGAGCGACTACTACGTTGATTAAAATGCGATTTCATATTCGCTATCAGTGAAGCAAGTGAAACTTCAGTCACAGCCTCGTTATTTTAAGGTTCGATACCGTTTGGGATTCCACCGAACAAGTTAATTTTTTGCTCAGGCAAATTAATCTAGTTAGCCTGTTCAGGGTTACAGATTAACGGGCGACCGAAAGAGTCAAAGGCTTGCGTTATACCATAAGGTAAAAACGAGCGAGGCTTGAGAGAGAGAGAAAGAACTTTTGCCTTTTCCATTTGCTATCCCAATCCTCGCTCGCTTTTCTCTCGCCTGCTCGTGCCCGCTTTTTCGATTGTGCTCGCTGACTGAGAGCCTGGAACAGACTGCCATCTGGCTGGTAACCTTATTGCGTATTAAACATAATTAGTTTCCAAACGATACAATGACTCACAATTCTTTTTTTTTTTTAATAAATTAACTGTAATTGTGATTCACACTGCTTGCAACACTGGTACGTCTACTTACGCAATTTACAACAGTAATACAACAACTAAAGTCCATTACATTACCGACAAAACCTTTTATACAATTACTTACACACTACTTACACTACTTACAATACAATGCAATTACAGGTGCTACTTACAATAATACAATTTGCATAACTTACTCTACTGACTTCAAAACAATATGATTACTTATTTAACTTACGATACCAATTCTTACACTACTTACAAAGTAATACGATTTCTGATGCTACTTACATTCATATCAAAGCAGTGAGCAACAAAATAAAAGATTCATTCATATTAAAATAAAAAAGCAATAAAGTAAGATGGGCATAATTAATTATATTGGAGAGAGCACTCATTTCTTTTCAAAGAAGTTTTTCTTGTTGATATTTTCTTTCAGTTTCATATTTAATCTTAAGTTTCGACTGCAGTCCTTGAATTTTAGGAAGTGTTTGGCTTCTTCTGCAGTCCCACAAAAAAGTTTTCCGATTACTATGAAATAGTTTAATAAATTTGATAAAGAACATTGTTTGAATAAAACTCCAAATAAAACGTTTTGTTCAGAAAGATGGATTGGTTGATTCGATAGATGGTACCAGTGCGATTCGAAATCAGTCCAGAACGTTTTGGAGTAAGGGCATTCATAGAAAAGGTGATATAAATTGGTTCATCATTACAAAACTGAAGTACATGCATCATTAATTCTAAATCCAATTTTGCATAGTTTGCTGTTAGTGTAGAGAATAGAATCAATTACTTTGTACTGGAAGGCCTTGACATATGACTCAAGTGCAACCAAATGTGGTAACGAGATTTCTCTAAATTGTTGGGTTATAAAATTAAAATCACTCTTCAATTTGTGGATAATATTAGGAGGTTGAGCCTTTTTTAAGCCCAGCAGCGAGCAATAATCTTTTGAATTTTTGTCTTTAATATCGAAGATTTTACTTCCAATTATAAGTGATAGCAATAGGGGTCTATTGTATTAAAGTTAAATAGAACATCGTGTATGTAAATGATTCCCGACTTAGAGTAATTTTGATAGTAAACCGGCTTGTTGTCTATTCGAATGTCTTTATTATTCCAAACAATATTTTTCCAATCACTTTCTGAAGCAAAAAATTCGCGGAACTCCGACCACCATAACAAAAGTTCGTGTTAAAATTGAGAAGATATCGTATAATAACCTGGCTGGTAACCTTATTGCCTATTTAACATAATTCGTTTCCAAACGATTTAATTTATTGACTCACTGTTCACTAGTTTGATTTGAATGGGAAAAAAAGAGATGAATTAAACGAGGGACGATCTAAATTTTTTCAAGATGTGCCAAACTAGTGTTTTTCTAAATATAGATGTGTATATACAGCATAGAAATGACACCACGCCCCAGTGGCGCAAAACAAATGCCAGATCGCATGCGCAAAGGGTATACGTCCATCCGACTTGAAAAACACTACACCACTGACGTAAAATGCTCCGCCCAAGGCCACCTCGGCCAGGCCAGCTCTATCGGTCTGTAAAGTAAAAAAAAAGTGATAAGAGATAGAAGCCTATCTTGACATTAGACAATCAAGAGGTAATTTCCCTTTATGGTATCAATGCTTAGATATCACTTTGATTAAAGGAGTTTTCAGAAGAGCTTTCAGAAGATCTTGAAGAACACTCAAAGAAATGGTCTCTCGCAGATCATCATATTCTTTGGTTTCTGCAGACGGTGAACTTGGTTTGCGCTGATTACTTCGTTTTTTAGATATAATAGTATAGATATATAGCAGTTACAACTGAAGAAATACTCGCAAAGTAATTAAATTTTAAGTGAATTAGCTTTGTCAAGCAGAGCGAAAAAACACACAACCGCCATCTTCGCTGACCGCTGACAAACTATTTGTCTTCCTTTACCTCCTTTTCTTTCTCTCTTAAACACTTTATTTTTTAATTAATCATAACTAAATTATTTCATTAATGCTATTTATCATCTTCTACATGTAATTTGTATATATTTATATGTATTCTATTTTTTTTTTCTGACACCTCTATAAAATTAATGTTTGTGAGAGTTTAAATTGAAATTGAATTGAATTGAATTGAGTCCAATCACGGTATTTTGAGTTATTTTGGCCACGTACAAAATTACCTTTAAATTGAAGAAAACCTTAAAATAGTAGTTTACTAAGATAGAAAAACACCAAAGAGATAATAATAAACCATAAAGGAACAAGGATTGTTAAGGATGGAGAAGATTTACACGGACTGCAAACGACGAACTTAAAAACCGCGACGTAACTCCTTTAAGCCACCTTAGCAGCTCTTGAGGAAAGAACTGCCAAGAGGGCTGCTCGCAAGCTAGATTAGACAAAAATGAGCAAGTGGTGTGTGAGATGAAATTGGGTATGAGCGACGTAGAAATGTGTGAAAAAAACGTTGCGCAAAAAAAAAAACCCAGAACATCCCCCAATTCTGTTCCTGGTGTATTTAACCCCGCGTTAGACTATGAGCAGTCTCTCTTTTGCTCGAAAATCCGTGGGGAAGAACACAAAACAAGTGAGCAGTCGTGAGCGTGCGAGCGTGATATGCGAAGCCGTGAGCCGCAAGTTCCGCGCTACTTCCGGCTCGCGCGATCGCCGCTCACAGTCACGATCGCACGCTCACTTGTATTGCGTACCTCCCCACGGATTTTCGAGGAAAACAGAGACCGTTCCCAGTCTAACCCCGAGTTGAAAAAGGTAATGATCTGCTGAAACGATCACGGTGTTTATTCTTGTTTTCTAGCAAAGGTTTCTGTGTGGGAGCAAGAACAACAACACTTTTTTAGAAACACCCACCACTATAAACCAACTAGTTAAAGGTGGACCAGGGCCAATGAAATGACAATGCAGAGGCCAAACGATGCGAGGATTGAGTTTGCATGTGGTTCTTTGTCTATGAAGCACGCTAAGCAGTCAGAGAATTGACAGACTAAACAAAAGAAGTAAAACACTTACCGTAGAAAAGACAAGCGGTAGAGACGGACATATTCCAATGATTAAATACAACGCTGTCTCCACCGTCTTGTATCTAAAAGACAAGAAACAAATGACCTCAAAAAAAAAATAATAATGATAATAACAATAATAATAATAATAATAATAATAATAATAATAATAATAAATAGCACTGAAAGTATGTTGAGACTGGTTTCCCAAGATTGGTTGTTTTAAGGCAAAGGGTAAGCGCGGTAAAATTCAAAGGAATCAGAGCATTACCACCTTGGAATTCAAGAAAACGCGTCTCGGCGATGCCACTCATTTATCTTCGTTTCATTCCTTTCTTTTGTGGCGACTTAAAAGAGTTACGTCACGTTTTTGTGCATCTTGTAAAGTTTAGCCTACGTTTTTCAAGTTCGCCGTTTGCAATCCGTGTTAATCTTCTCTATCCTTGACCATCCTTGTTCCTTTATGATTTATTATTATCTCTTTAGTGTTTTTCTATCTTAGAAAACCACTATTTTCAGGTTTCCGTCGTTCAATTTAAAGGTAATTTTGTACGTGGACAAAATAACTCAGACTGCCGTGACTGAGCTCCTTTGAAACTCGAGCACACGATCCTTAATTACACTCCATTACAGTTCTTGTTAATTCGACTCCTTAAAAGCCCCAGCCAAACGGGCGCAACATTTCAACGCAAGATATCGTAACATTGTTGGCCCAGCAGTTGCAAGCCCCGGCCAAACGATCGCAACATTTCACGCAAGCTATCGCACCATTGTTGGCCCAGTGTTTGCAAGCCCCGGCCAAACGATCGCAACATTTCGACGCAACATATCACAACATTGTTCGGGGCAACATGCGTGCGTTTGGTCACCCTGTTGCGAGGTGTTGCGACATGTTGGGTGTTGCAAATCGAACTAGTGCGCATGCCCTGGCGCAACATTGTTGCACGAACCTGGCCAAACGCATACGATATCATGCAACATCCATAAATGTTGCATGAAAAATTTGAACAGTTTCAAATTTGAGCCAACAACACCAAACCTGTCGCAACACATCGCAACACATCACAATAGGGTGGCCAAACGCGCGCGACATGTTGGGCCCAACAATGTTGCGATATGTTGCGTTGAAATGTTGCGATCGTTTGGCCGGGGCTGAGATCAACTGAGAATAACAGTCGATGTGAGTCCAACCATAGGTATCGCAAGCTCACTGCGTCAGTTAAATTAAATACGTGAAGCTAGAAATAGAAATGCCAAAAAAACGTCTTCCTTTATTTTGTCATTTTCCTTTGAGTATTGCTAATGTTGCTGACGAGTTTAAGGCAGTTTTATTAAGCAATTTTAGCGAGTTTCAACTGCATCGTTTTCTTTTCCACAGTACATAGTGAAGCTAAAAATAACTAAAATCGCTCTAAAACGGCCTAAAACTCCACCAGCAGCATGAGTAATAAAAAAGCTGAGGAAGCAGGGGAAGACAATTTCATTGTATGTCATTTAAGATGTGTCTATTATTTATCGTGGTGCAAGGTAAGACGATGAATTTTACTCGTTTGTCTCAAGATGGAGGCACTTTGAGTTAGTCCCAAAGTGACTCCATCGTGAGACAAACGAGTAAAATCCATCTGTCCAATTTCACTGTATTTAAGGATGTTCGCGTGAAAATTTTCCGACATTGATTGTTTTCTGAGAAAAAAAAATGGGGGGTCACCGACTTAATTCGTTTTGGAGAGAACATGCCCGGAAGAACACCCTAAATCTGAAAAAATCGCGCTTCGTTAGCGAATAAAGCCACAGTGTCTGAAAGCCCCAAAATATTGCAATTTGATCTTAGAAGTGAAATGTTTTCTGCCAAATATTGTTTAAGTAAACCTATTAAGTGAATTTAGTCAACTGGTGTGGTTCCTTAAAGAAGAAGAACAACAACAACTTCCCACGTTGATTTTTAGTTCATTTTTGGACAATGTGGAGATAATAGGGTCACCGAACGTCCAAGATCGTTAAATCCAGGCAAAGATATAGCAATGGCCATCTGCCCTATCATTGTTCATTTTATTACTTAGCGCACGCTCTCATGGATGACGTGGCGTGTGAATTTGCGTGCGCGGTAAGGATGCGCAGAAACAATTGGCGCGAACTTCCTTAACGTCTTTCTAGCTGCGTTTTCACTTTCCCATGCAAAGCTTGGAGTGTGTCTGTGGCTTGATCAAATGCCAATTATATATAGACAAGGACAGCCTGGCCCCGTCCACGCTACGCTTGGAAATTTGAAAACGCAGCTTTATTTCTCCGGTTAGGCCTACCGTCCAAACTAATCCGTCAAGAGAACGGAGCTTTTCCAAAAACGCTCTTCAAACCGGGGGAATTTGAAAACGTCGGCCTTGTGTTTCAGTGCGGACTGAACACATTTTGAAAACGGAGCTTTTCGAAAACGACGAAGTCACGTGATTTCTCTGCCCGAGCTTTCCTCAAACATGTATCCAAAATGACCGCTGATTGTTGTGTGTTCAAAATTCTCCAGGCGTAGTGTGGACGGAAAAGATTTGAAACGTTTTCAGAGTGAAAGCGCTGTTTTCAAATTTCTCCCGCGTAGTGCGCACGGACCTAAGAAAACTCTTGACCAAACTCTGATCGACTCTCACTTTCGTTTCATTCTATCTTTACAGTTACCTTTCATGAAACATGTATGAATAAATAGTGCCAGTGACGGCCAAACACCACAACAGCCATGTAAAAAGATCACCAAATTTACCAGCATCTCTCAACACTAACCTGAAAATTAAGAATATTGACTTACTACAAAAAAATCACCAAACCCGTGGAATAGGCTAGAATTTTTGTGTAGAGACCATTCCCACGTTTTTACCCTCTCACATTCCTTTGTGTTGCTGGGAGTTGACCATAAGCGAAGTTTAAACTTAGGGTGGGGAAAGGGAAAAAGGTGGATAAATGTGTTACTAAAAATATTTTAACGCATTTTTCTGCTTCCCTTTCCCCACTTTTAGGTTGAATTCGTGTCTCGTATCGATCACGGCACTTCACTGACAGTCAACTCACAACAACATGAAGGAATGCGGGCGGGTCTGTAAAAGAAGTGGGAGTGGTCATTGTACAAAAATTTGAGTGGTCCATCACATCCAGAGACTTTTCTTTGCCCCTTTTTCTAAGTTTCAAAATTATTTTCCTATGATACATAGAGGCTTGTTGCTCCTTTATAAAAGGCACACCATTTATTTCAGACTCGAACAACTCAAAATAAAACATATAATTTGGGACAGGACTGCTTTTACCAGGGGAAACCCCCAACCCCTGTCCCTTTTTCTCAGGCCACACCCAAGGTATATCAGTACTAAGGGACCGTTCATTTTTTATAAGGTAGGGGGGGCCGTGCGAAAAAAATGGCTTTCGAGGGGGGGCCATCCCAAAAAAATAAGGGAAAAAGGGGGGGTCACGTGAAATATTTTAGTAAAACTTTAAAATGGCATAA